CTTCCTTCTTTTTAAGCTGGATATTCTCTGCCTTCTTTTTAAGCTGGATATTCTCTTCCTTCTTTTTAAGCTGGATATTCTCTGCCTTCTTTTTAAGCTGGATATTCTCTTCCTTCTTTTTAAGCTGGATATTCTCTGCCCTCTTTTTAAGCTGGATATTCTCTTCCTTCTTTTTAAGCTGGATATTCTCTTCCTTCTTTTTAAGCTGGATATTCTCTTCCTTCTTTTTAAGCTGGATATTATCTTCCTTCTTTTTAAGCTGGATATTCTCTTCTTCTTTTTAAGCTGGATATTATCTTCCTTCTTTTTAAGCTGGATATTCTCTTCCTTCTTTTTAAGCTGGATATTCTCTTCCTTCTTTTTAAGCTGGATATTCTCTTCCTTCTTTTTAAGCTGGATATCTCTTCCTTCTTTTTAAGCTGGATATTCTCTTCCTTCTTTTTAAGCTGGATATTCTCTTCCTTCTTTTTAAGCTGGATATTCTCTTCCTTCTTTTTAAGCTGGATATTCTCTGCCTTCTTTTTAAGCTGGATATTATCTTCCTTCTTTTTAAGCTGGATATTCTCTTCCTTCTTTTTAAGCTGGATATTATCTTCCTTCTTTTTAAGCTGGATATTCTCTTCCTTCTTTTTAAGCTGGATATTCTCTTCCTTCTTTTTAAGCTGGATATTCTCTTCCTTCTTTTTAAGTGGATATTCTCTTCCTTCTTTTTAAGCTGGATATTCTCTGCCTTCTTTTTAAGTGGATATTCTCTTCCTTCTTTTAAGCTGGATATTCTCTGCCTTCTTTTTAAGCTGGATATTCTCTTCCTTCTTTTTAAGCTGGATATTCTCTTCCTTCTTTTTAAGCTGGATATTCTCTTCCTTCTTTTTAAGCTGGATATTCTCTTCCTTCTTTTTAAGCTGGATATTCTCTTCCTTCTTTTTAAGCTGGATATTCTCTTCCTTCTTTTTAAGCTGGATATTCTCTTCCTTCTTTTTAAGCTGGATATTCTCTTCCTTCTTTTTAAGCTGGATATTATCTTCCTTCTTTTTAAGCTGGATATTCTCTTCCTTCTTTTTAAGCTGGATATTCTCTTCCTTCTTTTTAAGCTGGATATTCTCTTCCTTCTTTTTAAGCTGGATATTCTCTTCTTCTTTTTAAGCTGGATATTCTCTTCCTTCTTTTTAAGCTGGATATTCTCTTCCTTCTTTTTAAGCTGGATATTCTCTTCCTTCTTTTTAAGATGGATATTCTCTTCCTTCTTTTTAAGCTGGATATTCTCTTCCTTCTTTTTAAGCTGGATATTCTCTTCCTTCTTTTTAAGCTGGATATTCTCTTCCTTCTTTTTAAGCTGGATATTCTCTTCCTTCTTTTTAAGCTGGATATTCTCTTCCTTCTTTTTAAGCTGGATATTCTCTTCCTTCTTTTTAAGCTGGATATTCTCTTCCTTCTTTTTAAGCTGGATATTCTCTTCCTTCTTTTTAAGCTGGATATTCTCTTCCTTCTTTTTAAGCTGGATATTCTCTTCCTTCTTTTTAAGCTGGATATTCTCTTCCTTTTTTTTAAGCTGGATATTCTCTGTCTCTTTTTAAGCTGGATATTCTCTTCTTCTTTTTAAGCTGGATATTCTCTTCCTTCTTTTTAAGCTGGATATTCTCTTCCTTCTTTTTAAGCTGGATATTCTCTTCCTTCTTTTTAAGCTGGATATTCTCTTCCTTCTTTTTAAGCTGGATATTCTCTTCCTTCTTTTTAAGCTGGATATTCTCTTCCTTCTTTTTAAGCTGGATATTCTCTTCCTTCTTTTTAAGCTGGATATTCTCTTCCTTCATTTTTTCAAGTGGATGGATATTCGTAGCTGGTCTTTAAGCGAATATTCATAATTTTATTAAACGCATTGCCCAAAAGTCCTGACGGTCACCAGGTTTCTAGCCCCCAGGAGCTGGTAAGAATACCAGAAGACCAGGTTTCTAGCCCCCAGGAGCTGGTAAGAATTCCAGAAGACCAGGTTTCTAGCCCCAGGAGCTGGTAAGATACCAGAAGACCAGGTTTCTAGCCCCCAGGAGCTGGTAAGAATACCAGAAGACCAGGTTTCTAGCCCCCAGGAGTGGTAAGAATACAAGAAGACCAGGTTTCTAGCCCCCAGGAGCTGGTAAGAATACCAGAAGACCAGGTTTCTAGCCCCCAGGAGCTGGTAAGAATACCAGAAGACCAGGTTTCTAGCCCCCAGGAGCTGGTAAGAATACCAGAAGACCAGGTTTCTAGCCCCAGGAGCTGGTAAGAATACCAGAAGACCAGGTTTCTAGCCCCCAGGAGCTGGTAAGAATACCAGAAGACCAGATTTCTAGCCCCCAGGAGCTGGTAAGAATACCAGAAGACCAGGTTTCTAGCCCCCAGGAGTTGGTAAGAATACCAGAAGACCAGGCTTCTAGCCCCCAGGAGCTGGTAAGAATACCAGAAGACCAGGTTTCTAGCCCCCAGGATCTGGTAAGAATACCAGAAGACCAGGTTTCTAGCCCCC